AGCGTCGAAAGTTTATGTTTCTGCGGTTTGCTCTTCCTCTCCCTATACCTCATGTGTCGACCTTCCTCTTCCGAACGGCGGGTGCCTTCTGACGCCCCCCCTCTCAGGAGCGAAAGAAGGCCATACATGTACATGAATCCGCGCTGGTTTTGAGAGGCCGCATTGCGCGAACTTTCTTGTCACGAGGCTGGTTTCGCGGACTGGGGGGCCTTGTTCATGTACGCGGTTGGGCGCGCATTTCTTTTGTGTGTTCCCTCTTGTCGTGCGCGCCGCCCGCGTCTGCCGCGGACGGCGCCGGCTTCCGGGGCGCCCTCGTGCGCTCCCTCCAGGCGGAGGCGGCCGCGGCCCTCGAAGCAGGGGGGCGAGGGCACTCTGGGCATGCTCGCGTCCTGAACACAACGAGGCACGACGGCAGGCTTTTCGTTGCCCGTTTTCGGAGTGTCAACAGTCAGGAGAGAGAAACAACACACGCAGACACAAAGAGTCGTCGATCCCAAGGAAAGTATGGGAAAATATTGGAAGTGGGGGGGAGGACGAAAATCCAGAAAATCGGAGGTTGGGGGGTGAGATCGAAGTGGAACGGAGAGCCCCCCACCAGGAAATCGGTTTCGGTTTCGTGTTCGTGCGTGCCGTGCGTGCGGGCGAGGCGAAGCTGCGTGAGCGGGCGAGAGGAAAGTCTCCTGTGGCTGAGGCGCGGCCGGACCAAATGATTCTCCCTCCGGCAAGCGGTGGCGCGCGGTGTCCCGCCGGTGTCCCGCCGGTGTCCCGCTTGTGGCTGGGCCCCGGCCAGACCAAATGATTCTCCCTCCGGCAAGCGGTGCCGCGCGCTGTCCCGCCGGTGTCCCGCCGGTGTCCCGCCAGAGTCCCAGTGTCCCGCTGGAGCGAAGACGATAGTGAGGCCGATGACGAAATCGATTGTGAGATCGATAGTGAGATCAATAGTGAGACCGATAGTGAGATCGATCGTGAGATCGATAGTGAGATCGATAGTGAGATCGATAGTGAGATGAATGGTGATATCGATTGTGAGATCGAGTGAGATCGATAGGGAGATCGATAGTGGGATCGATAGCGAGCGGCAACGCAACAATCACCACTGTTGCCCATTGCTGGCCCCCCTCCCCCCAAACCTCCTTATCACCCGCAGGGTGGTCGTATAGGTCTTTCAATATATAGGGAATCCTGGGGGTTGTGTCTATTCATTTGTGTGTCCCTGGGCGCCTCAAACAGATGGCTCGGGATGCAAACACGGGCCCGGGGAGAGGGTCGGGTCTGCCGGGGAGCCCGGATGGAAAGTATCAAGACGTCGGATGTCCGAGGGTTTGTTGGGCGGGCGCATCTCGCCCTCTCTTGGCGTCTTGGCCTCCGTGAGGGGCCCTCGCAAGGTCCCCTTTGGTCCGATCCGATTCGACATCGATTTCGGCCGGCCCGATCCGTTTCGATTCCAGTGTTCCGACGATACGATGTGGCCCGATGTCCTCACGGCGGTGTTGTGCGTTTTGGTGCGGCCGATTTGATTCAATTCGATTCCGATTCCGTGCCGATGCGGCCGATTCGACGCACGTTCCGATCCGATCCGGCGTATCGATCCCGCGTGCTGGCCGCCCTGGGGTTGAGCGTGTCTGGGCCTCCGCCCTCGCTCGGGAGACATCGGCTGACCACCTCACCCATCTTGGGCAGGCGCGCCCTGGGCCCAGGATCCGTGCTTGCGGCTCCCTGGCCCGGCCAGGAGGGCCCAGACACCGACCCCAGGGCCAGCATGGGCCTGGCTCGGCAGGGTGGCCAGTTGACGTCGCCGACTCGTGTCCACGGCCGGGTGCGCCCCGAAGCTCGTGCCACGGCGCTCCGACCCCCCTCCGCCTCCGCATCTCCTCTGGGAGGGTGGGGAGCATCTGGAGGACTGCGTTCGCTCTTCTCATGCTAGGGCGGTGCCGTCGATCATCGATGGGGAAGTGGTGCAGAAAAGGGCGTGATATTGGACAGGGAGGAGGGAGGAGGCATGATGAGGTGGACGAAGGAGGACGAGGACAAGGATGAGTGTGGACGTGGAGGACGGATGATGATGATGATGATGATGATGATGATGATGATGATGATGATGATGATGATGCTGATGCTGATGCTGATGCTGATGCTGATGCTGATGCTGGTGCTGGTGCTGGTGCTGGTGCTGGTGCTGGTGCTGATGCTGATGCTGGTGCTGATGCTGATGCTGATGCTGATGCTGATGCTGGTGGTGGTGGTGGTGGTGGTGGTGGTGGTGGTGATGGTGATGGTGATGGTGATGGTGATGGTGATGGTGATGGTGATGGTGAGGGTGAGGGTGAGGGTGAGGGTGATGATGGTGATGATGGTGATGATGGTGATGGCGATGGCGATGGCGATGGCGATGGTGATAGTGATGGCGATGATGGTGATGATGGTGATGGTGAGGGTGAGGGTGAGGGTGAGGGTGAGGGTGATTGTGATGGTGATGATGGTGATGATGGTGGCGGTGACGATCCTGATGATGCTGATGATGACAATGATGCTGATGGTGATGATGGTGCTGCTGATAATGATGTTGATGGTGATGATGATGGTGAGTGTGATGGCCATGGTCATGGTGACGATTATGATAATGATGCTGCTCCTGATGATGATGAGTGTGCTGATGATGATGGTCATGATCATGATCGTGATGGTCCTGCTTGTGATGATGGTAATGCTGATGGTGATGGCGTTGGTGCTGATGTTGGTGCAAGTGGTGATCATAGTGCTGATGATGCTGATGGTGAGTAGGATGATGATCATCATGCTTATGATCATGATGGTAATGATGATGACGATGATGTTGATGATGATGGCGATGGTGATGGTGATTGTGATGGTGATGGTGGTGGTTGTGATGATGGTGATGATGATGGCGATGGTGAAGCTGGTGGTGATGGTGATGATGATGGTGGTGGTGACGGTGATGGAGATAGGGGCGATGCCAATGATGGTGATGGTGATAGCGATGGTGATGGTGATGGTGATAGTGATGATGGTGGGATGGTGATGGTGGTGATGATGATGATTGTGATGGTAGCGATGATGGTCATGGTGATGGTGGTGTTGATAATGATGGTGAGTGTGTTTATGATGGTGATGGTGATGGTGGTGATGGTGATGATGCTGATGTTGATGAGGATGGTGGCGGTTGTGATGTGATGGTGATGGTGATGATGCTGGCCCTGGTGATGGTGATGATGATGGTGATGGTGACGGTGACGGTGATGGCGGTGGTAATGGTGATGGTGATGGTGGTTGTGATTAGAGTGAGTATGGTGATGATGATGATGATGTTGATCAGGATGGTGGTGGTGATGATTGTGATGATGTGGATGAGGAGGACCATGGTAGAGGTGTTGTGGATGGTGATGTGTTGGTGATGGTGATGTTGATGCTGCTGATGATGATGATGATGATGAGGATGCTAATGATGATGGTGATGATAATGATGCTGATGATGATGCAATGATGAGGATCATGATGAGGAGGAGGGGGAGGAGGAGGAAGAGGAAGATGTCGAGGAGGAGGAGGCGGAGGAGGATATAGGCTTACGCCATATCTGCCGAGCCCTTTTACCGACTTGGGGACCTTCTATTGTTGTCCTGGGGCGTACTTGTGTCGTCTGATTTCTTTGGGGGGGCGGGCTCGGGGCTCTTCCGGACCCCCGAGCTGTTCTGGGGGCATTGGGGGCCGTCCAGGGGGCGAACCTTACACGTCTGGAGACCCCGAAGGGGTTGGCGGATGCGGGTTGCATTGCATGTGCCCAGGCACGCGACAGGGCAGAGGCTAAAGGGTGATCCACCTGGTCTGAGCTGGGCCTTTACGCTGGTCTGCACCAGTGTCGTTCGTCCCTGCCGCGCTCTCTTCCGAGCGAGGGCCACTGTTCTGGATCCGCGTCATTCCTCATTCTTGGCGCCCCGCCACCGTGCCTGGGTTGTGGGGCTGAGGCCAATCGGATGGTTGATGGGTCTCGTGGGAGGCCCCTCGGGAACGTCCTGGAAGCAGTTGTTGGACCTCTTGGGGTCCTCATGGAGGCCTCGTGGGGTTTTTGGGGAGCCCCCTCACGGTTCTCTGGGGGCTTCTTTGGGCAACCTGTGGGCGCCTTGCGGCCGAAGGCTCGAAATGTCCGTTCGGGTTCCCCCTCTGGGCTCCATGATCGCCGTTCTGGGGCCCTTCTGGGGCGTCTTGGGGATTTATTGGGCCGTCTTGGGGCCCTCTTGGGTCGTCTTGGAGCCCTCTTGGGGGCCGCCTGCGAGGGAATGGGGAGATTTGTCTTTCTTAGGGCCCTGTTGGAGGCCTCTGGGAGCGTCTTGGAGGCATTGTCGGCCGTCTGGATGCCATCTCGGGCGTCGCGGCTCGATCTTTCGGCGACTCGGGGCCCTCGTGGACTCCGACCGTCTTGAGGGCCCCTTGGGGCCCTCTCTGCCCGTTGTGAGGCCCTCCGTTCCCCCGTGACGCGTTCAACCAGGGGTCGTGCCGGGCCCGGCTGGGGGGAGGTCAAAATCGAGGTTTGGGGACCTTGGGGGGGATTATGGGGGGGAAGAAGGAGGAGGAGGAGGAAAAGGAGGAGGAGGAAGAGGAGGAGGAGGAGGAGGAGGAGGAGGATTTTCATTGTTCTCTGGTCACAAGTGTGCTCTCTGGCGGCCGCTCGGAGATACGATCCGGGCATCCCCAGAATGCCCGCGGCGAGGCGCTGCAGCTGCCTGAAGACGCCCTGAGTTTGGAAACTGCCGAAATCAGACGAAAACGTACGAACACCATGAACCCCACACGAGGCGGAGGGCGAGGAGGACGACGACCAGGAGGACCCCCCCACCCTCCGCACTCCCCCCGTCTTGGGCGAGTGGTCATGACGACCAACAGTCCCAAAAAGCAAGGCGGACCCCCCCCCCACCCTCCCTACCCCGCCCCTCCCGGGCCAGCGGCGAGGGGCCCGCGCGACTGCCCCGCAGCAAGCGCCCGCCCAGGTGGCCAGCCTGCGCGCCCAGCTCGGGGGCGCGCCGCCGCCGCCGGCCGCGCCGCCAGCCGCGCGCGAGGCGCGCGGCGGTCGGGGGGCGTCGGCTGCACAGAGGCCTCCAAGACGCCCGACGGGGCCTCCCAAGAGGCCTCCCAACAGGGCCCCCAAGAGGCAACCATCAGGGATGTTCTCCAGATCCGTAGCCATTTTGGCTCAAGGCATCCTGGCTCAAGCAGACTTGGTGCAGCTTCCATTTTGTCCGTCATCAAATCACACACACACACGCGAACACACTTGGCTTGCGGGTCCTTTCTTTTCTGTTCAGTGGGATGGCGGTCCAGAAGGCACCTTGGACCGTGTGGTCCGTGGTTGTAGTCGTCCTCAGCATCAGCGTACCCACTGTGACCTCGATCGGTGTGAGTTCCAAGCAAAAGTGTGCAGATGACGACGCCCAAATTATTGCGCTGGCAAGCGGCATCGGCGTCACTATCAGTGGTTGTGCTGCGGTGCAGCCTTATTGCGAAGATGCGAAGTACGGCAGCACCGTGAAAGCGACCTGCCCTGCAACGTGTGGCCTCTGCAGGGTGGCCAGTCCCAGCAGATCCCAGGCGGCTGAGGTGCTGATGGACAGGAGCTCCAGGGGCTCCCAGGACGCGGATGATCAACGGTCCCTGGACAGGGCTCTGGCAGCGAAAGGGCCCGACCCGACGCCGAGGCCGACGCCGTGGCCGACGCCGTGGCCGACGCGGTACCCGACGCCGAGGCCGACGCCGTGGCCGACGCCGTGGCCGACGCGGTACCCGACGCCGAGGCCGACGCCGTGGCCGACGCCGAGGCCGACGCCGTATCCGACGCCGAAGCCGACGCCGAACCCAACGCCGAACCCGACGCCGTACCCGACGCCGAAGCCGACGCCGAACCCGACGCCGAACCCCACGCCGTACCCGACGCCGATGCCGACGCCGAACCCGACGCCGAACCCGACGCCGTACCCGACGCCGAAGCCCACGCCGAACCCGACGCCGAACCCGACGCCGTACCCGACGCCGAACCCGACGCCGAACCCGACGCCGTACCCGACGCCGTACCCCACGGCCTTCCCGACGCGGCCTTCCCGACGCCGTACCCGACGGCCTTCCCGACGCCGTACCCGACGGCCTTCCCGACGCCCTACCCAACAGCTTTCCCGACGCCCTACCCGACGGCCTTTCCGACGCCGTTCCCGACCCCTAGCCCGACGCCCAGCCCGACATATCCTTTGGGTTGGCCGACGCCACAACCAACGTTTCTTCCCGCAGCTCCTATGGCGGGTGGAGCTGCCGGAGGCGTGGCTGCCACCGGCGATCCCCACCTTCAGAATGTTCACGGCGAGCGGTTCGATTTAATGAAGGCGGGTAAACATGTTCTGATAAACATCCCTCGTGGAGTGAGCGCTGAAGACGTATTGCTTCGTGTGCAGGCCGATGCGCGCCGCTTGGGTGGAAGTTGTTCGGATATGTATTTCCAAGAACTGAACATCACAGGCTCTTGGGCAGAGGCTAAGCAAGTTGGAGGGTACCACTACGGCGTACGGCAAAGCGTTAGGACGAGTCCGCAATGGGTTGCTATTGGCCAGGTAGAGCTGAAAGTCGTCCATGGGCGCACAGAGAGTGGCATCCTGTACTTGAATGTGTTTGTGAAGCATTTAGGGCGATCAGGGTTTGCCGTCGGAGGTTTGCTGGGGGAAGACGACCACAAGGACGCGATGACTCCCCCTGCGTCTTGTACCAAACACATTCCTTTGCTAGAAGCAGTGTCGAGTGGCCAGGTTCTTTCTTCCGAGTCGTCGGTTGCAGCGGCAACCTTCGCGTGACCATGCTGGATACTTTGAAAAGTGGGTATATGACAAGTACGCCCCTTTGGGTGACGCATGCGGTAGTGTTTTCCTGCTCCCAAAAAAAAATCAGGGATGTTCTCCAGATGTTTGCAGGATATTGGCGTTCCCGCCTGTCCGGCTATCGCGCATCATTGCTCCCAGTTTTGACTGCACAGCTCTACCAATGCTGACCGGACCGGTCATGGGCTTCGAAGGACAAACATAATGCGGAAGCATGATTTCTCGGCGGTGTTCTCGGCGGTTCTCTAGTCCTCCGGGTGCTCCCTTGCAGCTGAGCCTCGCCGGGAGCCTCCCCTGGGTGCCCGGATTTGCCGAACGGCCGCCGGAGAGCTGAGTTAGGACCCGAAGCCAGGTCGGGATATTCCGCACGGCGTCGCCGATCCCTGGCCAGGCCGATCCTGGGCCGGGATCAGTGCTCCTCAAGTTCGGCCCCCATGGCGCTGGTCTGGGGCATCCGAAATGGACCCGGGTGGGAATAACTACCCCATGGGAAGGGGTCGGCCATGCGCAGAGGGTAGGGGGCAGGGGGAAAAGGCTTCTTAGAAGCACCCTCTGCCTCTGAGAAGGAGCGGACCTTGTCTGTAGATGTGGGGCCAGCGCCTTCTAAGAAGCGGCCTCCTTCTAAGAAGCCTGCCCCCCTCCCCCTATCCCCTGGCGCGCGCCGCCAAAAGGGGTCGGGACCTCCGGGGCTGGGAATGGAAACACTCGTATCGTCGGATGTCTGGGGCCGAGGGATCGGTCTGTATGCGACAGGGTCGCGCTCCAGGGCCCCAGGGTCGCGTTTCGGGGCCCCAGGGTCGCGTGTAATGCCCTAGGGTCGCGCTTAAATGGCGCTCTTTTGACGCGCCTGCACTGTTGCCAGAGTCGGCGAGCGTCGACTACACCTACAGTGGGTCCGTGTCGTGTCGGCGCGGCGACGACCCCAGCGCGGGCGGGCCAGGTTGAACGCCGCCAGTGGCCCGGACTCGCCCGACGTCGAGCGATCCGTGCCATCGGGAAGCTGCGAGCGGTCAAGTTGGAACTACGGGCGTGTCCCCCGACAGCCCGATTTGGGGCGAAAATCTAAAAATAGTCAAGCAATACCCTAAGATATTCAAAAATTGTCAAACTTTCGTCCCCAAACTATTTTGTTACTATTTTTGAATATTCCTTCTGTAGAGGGACAGGCCCGACTTAAAGTTGGAACGATTCTTCGTCAGAACCAACGCCAGGGTCGTCACGAAACGAACCCGCCGTGTACATCGGCACCGATCCTGTCTGGGCCGAGCCTGGGCCCAGGATCGGTGTATATGATCCCGGATCGAGGACAGGCCCCCTCCCCCCCAGATGGGATAGGTCTTAGCGTTCCACAGTCCGCCCCCCCCAAATGGGATGGGGGCCGACGACGCCGACGCCGACGCCGACCGATGCCGACGACGACGACGACGACGACGATGATGACGACGACGACGACGACGACGACGACGCGACGAGACCGACGACGACGTACCATCCCACACCCACAGAGAGAGGGCGGGGGGTGCACCAGCACCCTCCTCCACGCCACGCCCACACGGCCACGACCACAGGGGGGGGGACGATCCCATTCGCGAGGCCTTCGCGAGGCTCACGGGTGTACCCACCCAGCGGGGTGGGCGGGGGGTCGATCCCATATGCGTTGGGGGGAGGGAGGGGGGGGTCGGGGCAACCCTGGATCATGTGCCTCCCTGGCCAAGCCAGGATTGCGTATGCACCGATCCCTGGGCCCAGGATCGACCTGGCCAGGACCGCTGCAGGTTTACCGCTGGCGTCCTCCCACCGATGAGGCGCGAAAGCGAGGGGGAGCGGCGTCGGCGTCGCTCTCTCTCGCAGGTCTCCCGGGAGCTGCTGTGGGGCTGGCTCTCGTCGCCATGGCTGGACACAGCTCGGGGAGGTGGCCAGGATACCCTGCCGGGGATTGCGAAAGGTGCCTTTGGGCCAAGGTGCCCCCAGCTTTTTGCTCCATATTGGAGCCCCTGGGGTCCTCTGGGCGTCGGGAGGGGTTCTCTTGAGGCAGTGGGGCCTCCTTGAAAATTCCTGCGGGCACCTTGGACCAGGAGCACTTCCAGCAACACCCGACCCTGGGGGAGTCAACATGCTCTTGTCGGCATGTTTTGCAACGAGGTACGATGAGGACGAGGATGGGGAGGAAGAGGATCAGGATGATGCTGATGATGATGATGATGATGATGATGATGATGATGATGCTGATGATGCTGATGATGATGATGACGATGACGATGACGATGACGATGACGATGACGATGACGATGACGATGACGATGACGATGATGATGATGATGATGATGATGATGATGATGATGATGATGATGATGATGATGATGATGATGATGATGATGATGATGATGATGATGATTCTTCCTCGACGTTAGGACCAACATCTGATGTAAAGACATTGCGCACAATGTAATCAGACTTCAATGATCCGTCGCAGAGAGCCAAGTGTCTCGTATTGCCCCGCATGGGCCGTGCTGTCAGGGTGCTGCGCAGAGGGGCTTCCTGCGCAGCGCATGCCGAGCAACGTGAATGTGCTAGCTGAAAAGATGTTCCGCCGCTTCGTCTTCGGCGTTTGTATCGAGCTCGAACTCAGGTGGGGCCTCCGCCTCGAATAGCTCCTGTGCTGGCACGACAGGAGGATGGGTTGGAGGCACGGCGGAGGAGGGAGGGTACTCAACCGTGACTGTGCCGCTGCATGCGGGGAGGTCTTCGCCTCGAACAAAAATGACACGGCGCTGGATTGCCTCCTCTCCCCTGCTGCCTGCATCATGCCATGCAGGTTCATCCTGGCGAAAGGCTGGGCTCACTGCTCGAGGGTCTCCAGCCAGTGGCCTACTTCTTCCTCGAGCCATCCCGCTGGGGCCACGCCTCTGTGATGTACCGCTTGGCCCTCGGCTTCGAGGGCACGGCTGATCAAGACTCGGCCCTCCCATGTGGGCGCGCCGATCACCAGCTTCGTCTTGGTGTCGTCGTAGCCTTCTCCAGGCGTGCGAAGGAGATGACGTCGAGGAGATCCTCCTTGCTGATCTCGGCCTCCGCCTCGATGTCCTCGGGCTCCGCTCGGAGCAGGTAGTTGCGGATGGCCCCCTTCATGGATCCGCCCACGTCGCACTTGTGCAGTCCTTCCAGGGCCGCGAGCGCGAGGGACGGGGCTGGGGACCCTATCT